CCGCCCAGGCTCCCGCGGGGTCGTGTGCAGAGCGGAGGGGCTGCGGCCCCGGACTCGCAGCCGAGGGAGGCTCGCATGCCGCAGCTGCTCGGCCTCCCGGGGGTGGCGCCAAGGGCAACTGCAGTGCGGGCAGCCGGCTTCACGCAGCTCCGTGCGCCGCGGGGAATGCACCGTACTTACACAGCGACGAGAATGATGGCATAACTAGGAATTGACGGGGGCAGGGGGGCGTCATTCCCAGTCCGGGGGGGTCCTGCGCAAAATGGCACAGGAGCTGAGGTGTGTCGTCAGCGTCCGTGTTGTGCCTCACCCCCAGCCCCCGCCCAGACTCAGGTGTCTTTCCCCACCTCCTTCCTATCCAGTGGCTGTCGTGAAAGGCCAGACGGCACGCGAAGACCTGGCTTGTGACCTTACTTCTCACTCACTAGCTCTACGGAGTAAGAATCCTAAACTTCCAGGGTAGCTCTGCTGATGAGATGGGCGTATAAAGGAAAACTTTATGAAGTGTGGAGCCTGGACAAGCCTTATGATCCACTAAGATATCCCCACAGAAGGGGCTTCCCGGAAAGGATCTTCAGAGTATCAGAAAGAGCCCCCAGCCCTCCTGTCCTGTGTCAGCTAACCGAGGAGAAAAGGAAGTGCTATCTTTTCATACTTACTAGCTAAAGTCCTTCTGCTGAAAGACAAGTTTCACCCCTCCTTATTCAGTGGCAATGTAGAGGGGGGCCCAAACAACGTGGACAGTGCTTCCAAAAATGCTGACTTATTTCACTGTGGAGGGGGAAAGACTGTCTTCTGACTGGCCATGACTGAAGTTCCAAAGTTTTTTTATAAACTTTGGGGCTACTACCACTAAGCATTAGCAAAATCACATGGTGACAATGAAATTCTCTTTATTTCCTAGCTTATGACAATGTTGGGATAAAAAATACATTTCAGAGTGTGCAAACAATGGTGTTGAAAGCCATGTGTTTAGGGGCGCCTGTGTGCTCAGATGGTTAAGCGTCTGCCTTCAGCTCAGGTCATGATTTCCAGGTCCTGGAATCAGCCTGTGATGGGCTCCCAGCTCAGTGGGAAGTCTGCTTCTCCCTCTCCCTCTGCCTCTCCCCCTGCTCATGCTCTCTCTATATATCTTTCTGTTTCAAATGAATAAATAAAATCTTAAAAAAATAATAAAACCATGTGTTTAAAGGTGTGTGTTCAAATAAGGGTTTGTATTAAAAGTGATTGTCGTGTTAGATGACATTTGCTAGTTCGTGCTCATGAAGTTGGTTGCTATAGCAAATAGACTCCAATCTAGAGAACTATAATCCATGTAAATATCACACTTAAGTGAACAAGAAGCCCTCTGGCAGTGAACATTACTTGGCCTGTTTTTGGTGATTTTTCTGCTTTGGCGTGATATGAAGTGATTGTTGGCTTAGTGGGATTAAAAGAAAACCGAGTCATTTGGACACCCTGGCCTTCATGCTAATTGGTGATTGTACAAAAATGACATGAGCAAACTGTAGCAGTGGCCACTCATTTAACAATTGAATTCCACAGTGGTGGGATTTACCCTTGTCAAGCAAGGAAACATGGTAGTCCCCCCCCCAAATAATTTTATTTTTATCATTAAAAAATAAGTACAGAGAAAGCAAGTACCTTCATAATCTGTGTACAATTCTGCCTCTTGGCCCACAAAACCTAAAATGTGTTTAAGACTACTAGTGTTTATTGGGGCACCTGGCTGGCTCAGTCAGAGGAGCATGTGACTCTTGATCTCAGGGTTGTGAGTTTGAGCCCCACATTGCGTGTAGGTAGAGATTACTTAAAGAAAAAAAAAGACAATTAGTGTTTTGGTGAGAACAGTTGCTCAAAGATTTGAAAACACTGGGAGAAATATCAGTAATCAATCTAAAAACAAGTCACATGATTCTAAGTGATCTTCCTTGGTTTGATAAATCAGTAAATGTTGTCAGTTGTTGCTGTTTATTCAGGAAGCCAATGCAGAGTTTGCAATTACTGAAGAATTAGACTTTATGAATAGTCTGCATGGGACAACTAGAGGCAAGAATATTTAAAAAGAAGCTGAGAAAACATTAATTCAGTACAACCTGACATGGAATCTGCTAATACATGTTACTACCGATGGTAATAAAAATATATGTGGAGCAGGAAAAGGCTTAGATAGGCAACTTTACAAAGCTTGTGAAAATTTCAGGTGTTTAAAGCCTATGGTTATTCATCGTATTATTCATAGGCAGATACTTTGTGGAAAATATGTGAATCTGTTATGTATTCATGAACCAGTAATGTCAATGGTGAACTTTGTTCGTTCTCACGGACTTAAAAATCGTCAGTTCTGGGAATTTTCATCAGAAATAGACACTGAATATCTTGACTTGCCCCCCCATCATTATCAGTTTGCAATCTTTTTGAGCTTGGGGCTGAGGTTAAAATTTTTCTAAACAAGAACTCTCAACTACTTTTATCAAACACTGAATGACTTTGGAAATTAGCTTTTGGTTGCAGACTTGATACTGGGTTTTTTTGTTTTGGTGGTGTTGTTTTGTTTTTTAAGTAGGCTCTATACCCAGAATGGAGCCCAATGGGGGGCTTGAACTCATGACCCAGAGATCAAAACCTGAGCTGAGACCAAGAGTCAGACACTTAATGACTGAGCCACCCAGGTGCCCCTTGATACTGTTTCTTAATGAATGTAAAATTATAAGACAAAATGGTGTTTATATGTGAAATTTATTCTCTGATGAAATCATTTTAACAAACTTTGAATCACAAGTAATATCAAGCTGTTTTTACACTTCCTGTGCTGTCAAAAATAAAACAAGCAAGATGTCTATTGCTACATAAATTTGTAGCAGATATATTTTCTGAGCTCAAACTATATACAATTCCAGCAGTTTGTCAGACATCAGTGCAAGTGGAAAGAACACTCCATATTTCAAAATCCATTTAACTGTGCAATTGAGAATCTTCCACATAATCTTCAATTAGAAGTGATTAATCTGCAGTGTAATGACATACTAAAAAGGCAAATAAGAGAAGAATGTAATTACATAAGAATGAACATGCTCAATTAAAATCATATGCTTGTGGATTAATACATCAATATTTGTTAGTAACTATTGAAAAACATTTTCAAAGAGGCAATATGTAATAACTCATTACAGATCAGCATTAACAGTTGAACATTTGCAATCAATTTGGATGATAGGAAACATTAACCTTGACCCCTAATTAAGTGACATGTTATTTCCCAAAAATTAAAGAATTCCATTCTTTTCATTAGCAGCCCCATATTACAAAAAAAAAAAAAAAAAAGCATTCGGTCATTATTACTACACTGTGAATTTTGTCAATAAAATTTTGTGGAAATTTATTTTCTCTCATTATATAAATGCCTACATAATTCTCAATTCTGCCTCTTGGCTGGCAAACACTAAAACATTTACTCTCTGGCCATTTACAGAAAGAGTTAACGGTCCTTTGTTTCTAAGCAGCAAAATGTGCACATTTCCTCAGAAATTCATTTTTAAAGTTTTATCTTTTTGTAAAAATGACACATGCTCATTGTAGAAATGCATATTATCTAGGAGGAATAGGAAAAGAAGCTACCCTCATATTCCACTACCCAGAGATAAATGTTACAGATTTTGGGAGTACCCTCTAGACATGATATGTGCCAATATTTCCAAAAGTGTGCCCCTTGGAGCACTAGTTGCTCAAATTGACCCTCCACAGACAGATTTGTATGTTTCTTGATAACATTTTAAAAACTCGTAAACACGGGGCACTTGGGTGGCTCAGTTGGTTAAGGGTCTGCCTTTGGCTCAGGTCATGATCCCAGCGTCCTGCTCATCAGGGAGCCTGCTTCTCCCTCTCCCTCTGCCGCTCCCCTTGCTTGTGCTCTCTCTGTCTCAAATAAATAAAATCTTAAAAAAACAAAACAAAACAAAAACAACCCTCGGAGCGCCTGGGTTGCTCAGTGGTTAAGCCTCTGCCTTTGGCTCAGGTCATGATCCAGGGGTGTTTGGATCGAGCCCCACATCGGGCTCCCTGCTTGGCGGGAAGCCTGCTTCTCCCTCTCCCACTCCCCCTGCTTGTGCTCCTGCTCTTGCTATCTCTCTCTCTGTCAAATAAATAAATGATTTTTATTTTAAAGATTTTTTACTTATTTATTTGACAGAGACACAGCGAGAGAGGGAACACAAGCAGGGGGTGGGGGGGAGAGGGAGAAGCAGGCTCTCCACTAAGCAGGGAGCCCGATGCGGCGCTAGATCCCACCTGAGCCGAAGGCAGACGCCCAACAACCAAGCCACCCAGGCGCCCCTAAATAAATAAGATCTTAAAAAAAAAAAACAAAAAAACTCGTAAACACAAAATAAAAATGATCGTTGTGAAAAGTTTGGAAAATACAGAAAAGTTTAAAAAATCAGTTTTTTAAAAATCACCCTTAATCCTGTGGTATCAGTTAGGATCCCCAGGAGGATGTGATGGCATACTCATGTTGGGTAATTCAGGAGAGTTTAATCAAGGAACAAAAGAGTTCAGAGTTTGGGGAAAACTGCAAGGGACAGTTACTATTCCTGGACCTAGGCCAACAGGGAGCCTTCCTCTGGGTAAGGGTGAGGAGGAGGGAGTGATTTGTTACCAAAACTTGAAGAGAACAGCTATGTAGAGAGGATGTCTGATAAGAAAATGTGGTCTTCAGTTGAGAGGATGAAGTCAACCCTGTGGGACACCACAGGAAGAGAGCTGAGTTCTCTAGAAACTCAT